AGAAACTTTCACAAAATCTGCAGGAGTTTCTTATCCTGCTATTTGTTACCACCCCACCATTAAGAAGAATTTAAAACAGCCTATGAATAAATTTAAAAAACCATGAGCAAGTAGTGTGACCCTCTAACTGCCTTTTTCTTTAAAAAAAAAAAAAAAAGAAAAAAGACTAAAAGCACATTGTAAAAGACTGGAATTAAAACAGTGCATAGGTTATCAAAAGGCAAGAAATTCAATACCCAGAGCTCACTCGCTCGCCCTCTGAACAGTGTGCTCCAGGGAGTGCACGCTGACATGGCAGGGGAAAAAAGTAAGAGCAGTGACACCTACCAATTTTTTGGAGCCTTATGGTTGTTAAGCATCATACGGAAAAAAATTATTAAATATATACACTTAAATTTATTTTTAACTATCTTAAATATTAGAAACTTGGTATTTACTAAAGGGATTAAAATATTGATACGGACACATATGGGAGAGTGTATCTTCATCGAACACAGATGTATTAAAAGATACACAAAGCACTTGCCCACTACAAAAATCATGTTTTAAAATCTTCAACTTAATTATGGCTACGTGCAATTTTGTTGATCCTGCAAAGTAACAAACCTTCCTATCTAGTTTCACATTGGTAAATATGGAACATAATGATACAAACACACACCAAAACATATTTTAAAAGATCTGTGCCACATAAAGTCCCCTCCCTACTGTATCCTACACCAAATACGGTGAGTGCAGGTGTGTTTGCCCAGTTTGCCTGGAGCAAACCCAACAGCCAACATATATCTGACAACCACCAGAAGCGAACAACTACGTGCACAGAGATCCCGCAGAACAACGCGGCAGCTGCGGCGAAGGCTCCCCCGGGGTTTCTGCAGTGGGCAAGACGAACATATGGCGAGACAGAAGGAAATGCACCGACACTAACTTTTGGTAGGGAAATCACATTAAAGGATGCCACTCTTCCTTCCCCAACCTGTGAGACTTTGGGTTTGTTACCATGTGAACGTAAGCTAGGGGCTCACACGAGTGGCCATTTCGGGCTAATCCCAATACTTATTAGTTCTCCTTTCTCTAAAATACAGCTGAGGCACATGCATCAAATGTCTTGTCCATGGCCAACAAGGCTAGATTTCAGAGCAAGGTTTCAGATTCAAGGGTCACTGGCTCCTAGTCATGATAAGAACAACCTATTTTTATATAAACATTCATTTGCACAATAACAGTCCTGTTGCCTGCAGGGAGAAGTCCTCTAGACTGCTATTGTCAGACAAGTTAAAAATGTACCTGTGGGAATATCTCAGATACAGCGTCAGCATTGTTACGGGTTGAGTAATGCTATTAACCAGACTGTGAGAAAAGTTTGCTGTTAGAACAACAGCAACTGCTAGAAAGAGGTATTTAATAATTAACTCTGAAGAAAAACTATTCAGGAAAAGGATTTCCATCTGTGCAAAACCTGCCAGAACTCCTAACACTTGGATCCTGCAGCTTTATTCGGGATTATATATATCAGCTCAAGAACCAGCTCGCCAAGTTACTAAATTAAAATGCTAGAGAAGATCAAGCATTGCCTTTTC